TAACGTGTTTGAAACATGTAGATAAGGAGACAGAATACTATTGTCAGAGTTATTTAAAGGATGTATTAAGTGCTTCTTCCTGGGAATGTCCCGTGTATATAAGTATTAGGTGTCTGTGTGCATGTGGTGCGTGTGCTCTCCTCCCAGCTGAGGTTCGGCCAGGCTGGCTCCGGGCCAGTCGCTGCAGGTGGAGCGGAGTGCGACAGGGGCTGGGAAGCCGGGCAGTGCATGACTTGGTGTGTTCCCAGAACCTGCTCCGTGCTTTGGAAATACGAGAGGGTTGAAGGGAAGCCCTAGGCTGTGAGTCCAGGCGGGTAGTGGTGCAGGGGAGGGTGCCTCGGGTTAGACTGCATCTTGCCTCTGAGGCTGGTGGTCCTGGAAGCATCCTTCCCGTGCCCGTGGCAGGGGACACCTTTGCAGGCAGAGAGAGGGGTCTTCTCAGACACATCCATTACTAATCACATCACCTCCTGTGTCTCCCCATCCACCTCCCAGCACTTCTGCCACGCTGTGTTAGATATTTTTAAAGATTTCATTCCAGCTGTCCACGTGCTTCCTTGGCTCCAGGCACCTGTCTATGTCCCTTATGGGTGACTAAAGGAGGACACAGGGTGCTCTTTGTGATGGCTTTGGGACTGGTGTGTTACCTTTGAAAAACTGAGTTGATACGGACAGACACTGTGGAAAGGTTGCAGAAGGATGTGGGCAGGAGAAAACAAGTGTGCTGTAGCTTGAAGATTACTTATAGTGAGGTGGTGGTTGGTCACTATAGAGGTTGTTTTTTTGTCAGATTGCACAGAGGGGAGTACAGAGGGGAGAAAATCAATACTAGTAACCACAAAGCTTTGATAGTGGAAGGCAAGGCAGGTAGTAGACATGACAGAGAAGCGCCTAGAGTTCAGTAGCAGTAGTTGGAGGACTCCAGCTTGGAGGCAGCAGGTGCCTGGAGCAGGTAGAACCAGCAGTGAGGACCACAGAGCCCAGGTGAGCCCAAGGATGGGGCCCAGGGCTGGCTCAGGTGCGGGTATTAGTACCCTTTGTGCACTGTGCAGAAGTGATCCATTATTCCTTTTACAAACAGCTCCATCTTCCCCAGAACTCTTCTGGTATCTAAAACTGGTTTTCAAGCCAGAGATTTAAAACTGTTTGCCTTGTATTTTTTTGATTCCTTTTATTTATCCAAGCAGCACGGCCACCAGGCTTAGCTTTGGTAGATGCCCAGGACTTTTTTTTTTTTTTTTTGGACAGGTACAATGCTGGTGCACATGCCTGCCAGCCACGTCCCAAACCCCTCAAGGCAGTAAAACGAGCAGCTGGGAGATGTACCGGGATACCTGGGATGTGGCACTGCAGTTCTGGGCACACCTCTGCAGTCACATCCAGCTGCTAAGCTCATTGCCCCTCTGGTGTGTCTTCCCCAGTGCTAGTAAAGATGTAGGTATAAAGCAAAATCCTGTTCAGTGAGATAAGCACAGGCCCTGAGTGAAACTTGGGAACTCTGTTCTACTTCTGTCCTTAAAGCCAAAGTTTCTGACTCTTTGGCTGTGCCTCAAAAGGAAAGGCACTGGAGAAGGATTTAGTTGCATAAACAGCAACTACCCACAAGGACAAAAGCAAGTTGCTCATCTTCTAACGCTGCTGCATAAGCACGCAGGAATTTTTTTTTGGCCAACTGAGAGATGGAAAAAGGAGAGTAACTGTAGGAAAGCACTCACTCGCACGTGCTGCTGGGTGGGCCACCAGCTCTTACTCTCTTTAGGGTTCTTACATGGGAGATCTCCTACGCACAACTGCACTGGAACAGCCGCTTTTAACCTGTAGCTCCGCACCCGGCTGCACCCGTGCATCCCTTTCCCGCTGCAGTGGAGCAATGTGTGTAGATCCAGCCACCCCTGAGGGCCATGCAGGAATATTCAGTGAGTAAAATGAACTAAGCAGGTCTTGGAAATCTCTTGCATCTTCAAGAGCCAAAAACTTCAAGATCCACAGTTCAGTTCTCAGCCCCTCCCCACCCCCACAGCCCAAGCGTACTCATTTAAGAGGTTGGGAAGAGGAGTTAAGCGCAGGAAGGAGAGAGGGAGGCAAGAGGCAGTGGCAAGTGCTCAGAACTGCCTTTAATAAGCTAATGGGAGGTGAGCAGGTGGGTGCAACAAGGATGTTCCCCAAGTGAAGCGTCAGGATTTTTTTGTTTCCAAGTGCCTGTTTCTTACCAAGCGTGCTCTGCGTGTGTGAGTGTGACTTGATGCGTGTGACTTACCAAGTGCTTCTTCTAATCAAAGAGGAGCAGAAACAGGATAAGACAACTGCCCTACTTCTTTCCTTCACTTGAAGTACGGAGAGCAGCTCTGGAACCCACAGTTGTTTCTTGAAAAGCCAAACACCTCCACGAGGGCCCATGTGCGTGATGGGCACCACAGACAGCTTTCAGGCAATCGTAGTTCTCATCGCAGCATTTATTTGTACAAACTATAGCAACACTCACAGGGTTCCTTCACTGTCCCAGCTAAGGTACTGCATACACATACACTTAGCTGCAGCCAGAGTTACTAGTCATGGCGTTAGACCCTCGACAGCAATAAACTTGACTTGCAGCCCTCGCCGATAAAGAAATACTCCTGAATGTATATTTCTGTGTTTGTAGTCACCCAGAGATGGTTTCTTATTTATTGTCTTAACTCTCACCAAGATGCAACAGTATCAAGCTGCTTAAATAAAAAACCCTATTCATTAGTCTAAAAGAGAGAGGGAGGGACTTATATAAGTGCTTTTTTTTTTTTTTAAAAAAAAACCAAAAAACAAACAAACGGATGATTGTGACCAATATGCCAACTGTTACTGTCTGGTCAGCTTTTCACTGCAAACAAAAGTATCGTATTTTGTAACTGTGGGGATGTTTCTTAAAAAATGACAAGGTCAAATAAAAGATGACTGCTACGACCTGCCTCTGGTGCTTTTGTTACGCTCGCTCCAGCCCACTCACCGCTCCCAGCGAGAGTTCAGCAAAGGCTCAGGGACAAAGCAGCGCTGGTCAGAGCTAGTCCAGAGACACCCCTCCCCAGCCCATTGTCATTCTCTTTGTCTGTGACCAGAATTTTAATTGAGATCTCCTGCACAATACAAGGCACTTTCTTAAATCAGCCAGCTTATTAGGGCAGCTCTGGGCTGTAATTAAGGACATCAGCTCGTCAGTGAAGGGTCTGCGGTCATGGTAAAGGAAACTCAACCAAGGCAGAGTATGGCACAAGGGCTCACGCAGCCCCAGGCCGCCCCTGCACAAACGCCAGCGGGAGCAATTGAGCTGCTCTGGTCACCTGTGGTGGGAAACGCTGCAGAAGAGCGCCCCGCAGCAGAGGTTACCTGATGCTGAAGCAGAGGGAATGTCCCCAGTACAGGGACTGGAACACAGCCAGGTATCGCACCATGTCCAGCACGTGGAGGTGCGGCTGGTGGTTACTGAAATACGAGCGATAGGGATTGGAAAACTGAAAGGGAAAAAGAGGAAGGAATTCACATTATTATGAAACACAATTTGAATCTTCCCAGGCCAGCAAGAACCCACCGACCATATGAATATTTTATTTCCTTTACGACTTATAAACACTCAAAACCACAACATACACTTAGAGTTTCCAAACAGCCCTGCACAAGCTAGTAGCATCACATTTGTCCCCTCACCTGTCACTTCACAGTTCCGTGTGCAGATTGCACTTGTCTTCATCTCCCTTGCAAGGGCGCTGCTGTTAGCTGTTTCTAAAAAGCCACGCTCCCCGTTTATTTACAAAGCAGGAGATAAAGTACTCACAGTATAGTCCAGCTTACATGGTTTCTCCCAGTTTGGTAGTGTAGTGTCTGATGACCATCTTACCACAAGATGGGCTACATCATCCCATTCCACCTGTACAGGTGTGCACTGAAAGGACCGCTTGTTAACTGCTTCAACAGCCGCGGTCCCAAGAGGAGAGACTGTCACTATGTGTTAGTGCAACAGGCAAAACTCGTTCAGAGGTGATGCCCCAAGACGTGACAACAGTCTTTCAAAAAGGGATTTACCGGGTGCACGGAGAAGGACAAGAGTTACCCCCAGCATCGCTGCAACCACTGGAAATTCTGCAGCTGAACCGAGAAGCCAGGTCTGGCCTCTGGCTAAATCCTTGCGGTCAGCCCGGTGGGTCAGACTGTTCATCGCAAGTAATTTGTGGCCCAGCTCTCGTTCTGCTGCTCTGGTGAGTGGCACCCACCTCCCTCTTTCGTGGGCAGGGCAGGACAGATTACTCAGGACAGCTTGTCCTACCATTCGTGTTGTTTCTGGTTGCAAAATCATTTCTGCTGAACGAGGGAGGGTTTGCTGTGAATCTCTCAAAATGGAGACAAATCCTTGGGAATTTAAGCAGCATGTTTGGCACGTCACTTGAGAACGCAAATTAACTCTTACCAGAACTGGCAGCAGAACAAGTCTGAGAGCCTGAAGCGTTCAAGTGCTAAGAGGCACCGAGGCCTGGAGAGGAGCTGGGATTCCTGGGTGCTTAGCAATAGTGACTGGATTTTCAGTACTTCATTCCCAATAAATTCATCAAAATTCCCACAATTCCTGCACCTTCCAACTATGTGATGAACTGCAGAACATCATACTTTGTCTGCTTCCACCACACACTGGCGTGGAAGGAGTCCAAAGAAAGGTTCTGCACGAAAGTTCCCATCAGAAATGGAAGCCTTGAAATAGCTCAAACCAAATAAAACCAAAACACGTAGAGTTGGTCCTCTCTTGGAGCATCTGCTGGGGATAAAGTGTCCTCCTCAGACAACAGTGGCAGGCTGAGACAGAGAAACTTTCAAGCCTCCCGGTACGGTTCAATGCCGAGTCCACACGCAAGCCGCACAGCCACACCACGCCTGCCAAACCCTGCTCCTCTATGTCCATGCAGCCGCACGGAGTCAGCACGCAGGTAAAACGTTTTCGCTGCCTCGTCCGTCCCAGAACAGACACACCGACCCACTGGGATCTACACGAACTCTGTGAAGTCGTCCACCGAGGAGATCAGCCGCTTCCTCTGTCCGGTCTCATAGGTGGGTGGAGGGTCCTGAGGGATCTGGGGAGGGGCCTTTGGCGGAGCAGATGGATGCATCTGCAGGGGAAGGCCAGGAGTCTGGTACTGGGTTTCTTCACGTAACTGAAAGTCAAACGAGAAGGGATGAGCTCCGTTCTCTGTGGAACTCTTTTCACTCTCCATTTGGGCAGGGCAGGACAGATTACTCAGGACAGCTTGTCCTACCATCCCCAGCACGCTGCCAAGTGGGTGCAGCTCTGTGTCCAGATTTCGGGGTTCCCAAACCCCTTGCCGCCAAAGAAGCTGTTTGGAAGCTCCCAAGTCCAGACCTACATTGCTAAACTCATGACTCCCACAAGAGCTGGATTCTAACCTTCCTATACATATTCCTCCTCTTATTCGGCAAGTTTGGATAGCTGATTTTTATGTGCCTTATTTGTAATAAGCCTTTAAGGTAGAGCCCAGTTCTAAATACTAAGAACAGAGAGCTTTCCTTACCCGGTGCCTGAGCCTCTTGATATGACGTAGCCTGGCAATCCATTTGGATGGGTAGGTGTCAGTAGGGTTGGATCGACTATGATGAACCTGGGAAGCCATCTAATTTGGGAGGGGTGGGGAGAAGCAGGGAGAGAGAGCAGGCACATTAACCTAACCATGACAATAAAAATAATAGAACATTTCAGTACAGTTTGACAGCGACTGAAATACAGCTCTAAGTTATAACTGTTCACGTGCTAACTCTGATTTAAACATTGACAGAAATAACTGAAGCAGAAAGTTTATTTATTTGCTTTAGCAAGCCCTACTCGTTTCCTTGGAAGCTGGTGATGCACCAGGACACCAGCTGAAAGACAGAAGGTCTCGGGGAGCTCAGAGGTACTCACGTTAGCGTGCAGGGCCATCTGACGGGCTACAAACGGCAGGTTCTTATCAGAGATGATCTTAGCAACACTCGTGTCCACGAGACCCTCCATGTCTTCATTTTAAAGGAAGAAGAAAAAAAATTACTGTAAGACAGTGAAGAACAAGCCAAAAGTTGCCAGTAACTAAACAGATAAGTAATACAAACCTGAGGAATTGCACCACAGAATCTCAGAAGTCCCCTCCAAGCTCTACAGTTCCAACTGTAGCAGAACTCACACTGCAACTTATCAAAACTGGCTCTCAAATTCTGGCTACTCCGTAACTGTTTGAGGAGAGCCTGCTGGGCTCTTTATTACACGAACCGAAGTGTAACCAAAAACCACCCCAGAAGTGCCCCTTTGGTAAGAGGAAAGCAAACACCCCTGCAGATCACTGCACCAGCACTGCGAACTCAGACGGAGCCATGACCAGTTTCCAAGTATCAGGTCCTGCTGGGCTGGGAAGAACAGCAGAGGCCAAAGCCACAGGGACCTCCACCACATATCTCCTCCAGTATTGCCAAGCCATTGCTGGAGGGACCTGCTCTCCTCTGCTGGCACTTTGTCTTAAGCTTGAAGATAGTATGAGTGGTACAATGGGAAGATACCTCTTATCTTGGAGGAGATATATGAACAGGACATATCCAGTCATAACTGGGCAGCAAATTGGTTTCAGAGAGTTTCTCCTGGAAGTTTTTAGTTTTGAAACACAAAACCACTGCAAAGTGAAGGCAGTTATTGCACCACCAATACAGCAACGACTGAGAACAAAGGCTGGAGGGATTCCTACCTTTCCGACACTGCAGCGTCACCAGGTTACAGTCATAGTCAAGTGGTGTGATGATAACGTGCACAAAATTGAACTGACCCTAATGAGAAAACAATAAGAGAGTCATATACATTTTCCTGGCAGCCATCGTGATTCTTGTGAATGCCATAAACTAACACATGTGAATCCACCAAGGCAAATAACCATCATTCCTGATCTCAACACTGTTTGCTAAGATAACACACATCAGATTAAGGTTTTACAAACAGACACGTGCCTTTTTATAACACACCCGCAAGCAAAATCTTGTACCTTTATTGTTCCCAGCTTAAAGTCTTCTCCAGAATCATTGTAAACAATAGAAACGAAATCATTCCCAAGGTGCCTTTTCTTGTCACAGCGATATTTATCCAAATCCTTTGTGGGCATCAGAGTAGCAATGTGGAAAATGGCTGAAAAGGAAACAGAAAGCCCCTTAGGCTGGCCCGGGTAACCAGCGCTGCAAGCAGCAATGGTCCACATGCAGCACTTGTCTGGAAGACAAAGTAGGACCAGCACCACAATAATATAAAAAAATAAGTTGTACTCCCTCAACGGGTTTTTCCCCATTTGTCACAGCTGAATGCAGTCCCTCTGGACTGCTCCAGTGCTACCTGGAGCACAGAGCACAGTGGCCAGCAAAAGGGCAGCCACAGAATCACAGAATCACAGAATCACAGAATCACAGAATCACAGAATCACAGAATCACAGAATCACAGAATCACAGAATCACAGAATCACAGAATCACAGAATCACAGAATCACAGAATCACAGAATCACAGAATCACAGAATCACAGAATCACAGAATCACAGAATCACAGAATCACAGAATCACAGAATCACAGAGGGTTTTGAATGTCTCCAGAGTGGGAGACTCCACAACCTCTCTGGGCAGCCTGTGCCAGTGCTCCACTACCCTCAAAGTAAAGAAGTTCCTTCTCATGTTAAGATGGAACTTCCTATGTTCAAGTTTACGCCCATTACTCCTCATCCTATCACTGGGCACCACTGAAAAAAGACTGCTCCCATCCCCCTGGCATCCTCCCATTAAGCTCTGCTCTTGCCAGTGTTTAGGTACCACCCTGCACAGTCTTCTCTAGCATCAGGCTCAGCAAAGTGAATGGGTTTAGCTTTCAGCCCGTGCCTGATGTATTCTGGAATAAGCGTCCTCATCAAGCTGGGGTAGCAATCTCTCTGTTCATAGATAACGAACAGAGGACTGGAGAAGTGCTTCTGGGTATTTTTTCCATGCCCACAGTAGCATGGTGAGTAGAATCTGGTTTGAGGAGGAAGAGTTAAATAGCTTAAACCAGGACTTCCCCTCATTGAGCTCTGCAGAGCACCAGGGCCACAGTGAGTAACCTGCAGCTGCTCCACGGAACCAGGTAATGACTGGGATGCACAGAGCTGTATGAAAAAATTTGGTAAGTTCATCATAGCTTGTTGGGTCCTGGATGATATCTGCACTGCTTGGTGCTGCAGGAGCTGGGTAACACTGCAGGTCAATTAGCAATGACCACAGTAATGACAACTCTCCTGCTTTCAGTACTGCTCTTCAGAGAAACAATTAGCAGAGTTTTGACGTGTACATACCACCCTCAATTAACAGCCTTCACAGCAGCTCAAGAACAAACAGCTTATTCTACAAACCTCTACACCAAACCAAATCAACCTTTAATAGAACAGACTATTTTAAAAGAGGTGTGATTTTTTTTTTTTCCCCTTAAAGAAGGCAGGTATGCACCTCTCCCAAACTTTAACACATGGTTTGCAGAGACACCAGAGAGAGCATGGGAGGAGAACAGAGCCCTGGGTGATCTTTACTACATCCCTGGAAAGGAAACAGTTTGTAAAAGGCAGGTCAGTCTCAAGATAAGAAAAGACCATCCTTCCACTTCCAACTTCTGGAGCCACCTTACCTTGCATAATGTCGTCATGCCAACAGTAGGTAAACTGTCCATCCTCCCCACACACGTCCAGGCCACCAAGGTAAATTTTATCCGGCTGACAGTCTTTGAGCTCAATGAGCTTCCCTAACCCAGTCAGGAACTCTGTATAGCGATAGGATCCGTGTTCATTTGACAGAATTGCGATTTCATTGTTGCTCTAGGAAATAAGAATATGGGGGTCCCACACTGAATGCTAAGAGCACTCAATCAGCACGAGTGATTAGGTTATTACCTTCCCTAGAAGGGCTTCACGCAGACGCTGATTTTTAATGCAAGAAACTAAGGAAAAGCGAGCTACTGGAGGAGCAGGACAAATCTCACAGCTGGAGTAGTGGTGCCTGGCCTTCTGTTGAGATGTAACTATTAAAGGATTGATGCATCTGCACACAACTCACCTGGCCTTCTCCAACGTAGAGCACTGCAATCTTGTGCGTGTCGTAAGAAGGAATTTGATCCAGGAGCTGCACCGATCTTTCAAACGTCTACAATGAAAACATTGGTCACATCTTTAAAAATTTATTTCCACACACCCACTGCGCTCCCTGAAACACCTTCAGGGCAACGACAGCACAATGCGAGCACAGATTCCTGACCCTCACTAGTGTCTTCCTTGATGAACGCCGCCCTACTCAGTTCTGCAAGGGCACAGGGCATCAGCAGTCCCAGGTACAGAGCAGTGCTATATGCCATCTGTCACCGCACTTTCTTGGTTTTATACTTCAGATGAGATTAATATGGCAAACTGCACGGGTCAGAAGCACTTGCCATGACAATATTATATCCTATCTTCAATTAAGCTCCAGGCATGAAAAATTATCGTGTCCCTTGCTCTGAAGAACATTTTTAGCACAAGGGATCACCTCATCTCACTTCAGCTCCCTGCTGCCTGCCCACCCGAGCCTAAAGTGAGGCGAAACAATCAGCAGGAGGTCTGCGGTGCTCAGTTCACAAGAACCCCGTCCCAGCACCACTACTCCAGGAAGTTTATGACTATTTTTCTCATATGATCACAGAAAGCTTCCCAGTTCTATGGAGGGCTGACAGGTTTGTCTAGTGACATTCTGCCAATATCACCTAATGCTCAGTTGTCACCCTGCACTTTTCATACCAGCAAAAACCAAAACTCCAGAAATCATCCTGCCTTCTGGTTGGGATTCTGAAACAGCACCAGCAAAATCTCCCAATATCTCAAATTCAGTCCAGAGCTATAAAGCAGGGGCCACCAGGACCGGGGAACAGAAAATCTCCCATCTGCAGGACTGTTGGTAGGAACCACCTTTAAATTGCACCATCTAAGCTGGACATTTCATTTAGTATCATTTATATTCAAAAAGAGCAATGAGATTAGAAAAATTAATGAAAACAATTAAAAAAAAAATCATCCTTGCCTACCTCATTTGGCAACAAAAGGGGCTTATTGTTTTCATCACCAAAGAATGGGGAGTGGTACAACTGTAAAAACACAAAGCTAAGGGAGAGAGGGGGAAAAAAAGTCCTGTTACCACAAAAATAAAGTCCATTTTGGCCTGTTGTATGTAAGAACATTATGTACCGAAGAGGCGCAATTAAAATGCTAACAGAGTATTACTCATCTTCTAGAGACACTTTAGGTGCCGCGGCTACCTGCAGTTTGTAATAGACCCGTCATAAAAAGCAATGGTAATGTCAAACAGCGGCAGCTGCACAAATTCCCTGTTCAAAAGGCAATCTTTACACTGGACGGAGGAGTAGGAATGCACTCCTGCCTCACAGCTATGGGCGCTACTTCTAGGATAGCAGATAAATGATTTTACAGACATTTGTGTTTTACCCGCCCTCAATAAGATGAAGATTGCATCGTAACGCAATTTTGGACAACTACCGATATCTAAAGTTCAAAAAGCAACTATTATAACCCCTTCTTTTCCTTCTTCTTAGTATTTTGCACATTATATTTCTTGAACTTCAAGTCTAGTAATTCATTCTGTTCACAGCAAAATTAACTCTAGGTGAACTGCATTCAAGCCCCACCTGCATTTGGACCCCAAATTGGGATAGATTAAGAACATGAAGAAACTATTCATCTATTTCTTTCACCATTTAAGAGACCCGTTTCCTAAACCACAAAGTTAATTTGGTGGTAGTGGGTTCAACATGCCTGTATTAGCTCCTGAAAAAACAGGTAATTAACCTTTCTTTTTAAACAGATACTGTTTTGTAGATCCCACAAAACCAGCAGCCCACTTCGAATGAACCCAGCCATGGCTGCAGCAATTCTGAGCTCACCACTTCTAGCTTCAGATAAGCCCCTCCTCTCACCTTGGGTTTATTCCGGGTACTTTCTCCGCATTGGAGGCTGCTGTTCTGCTCTTGAAGGCATCTCTCTCGATCCTTTTTCCTCTCCTTGATGGGGCTGAGTCAGAGATGGTGTATCCTCGGGGCCGGTGCCCAGAGGGGGAGCGAGGCGAGGTGACAGGACCGATGCCATCCAGCCCGCCTGACCCAGTCACTCTGGCGTCCTCCCCCTTGCCCAGCCAACTGCCCAGCCCTTCCCCTTCCAGGTTCCCAGACTGGGATTTTGATTTCACTTCTGTGCTCAACCTCCTTGTTACTTCTCTGCCATTTGCATCTTTGAGGACCTCCTGCAGCGTCTGTAGCTCGGGGGAAGAACTCGACTTGCTGAGCGGCTGGGATGGCTGGAAGGAAAGCTCCTCCAGTGTTCGACCGTCCTCTGATGGCAGGACTCTCCCGATGGGAATTCCACCCTCCACCAGGTCTTCCGACTTCAGCGATTTTTCTTCTTGGCTGGAGGTTGAGGAGGACTTAAAAATACAGAAAACAAAGATGAACGGTTTTCCTGATACGTGAAATAAAAGCTGACAACAGTAATGCCTGAGGCACCCCTTGACACTTCCAGTGAAAGATGAGAAGAAAGGTGCCAAGGACAAAGCAATGCAGACCAAGGATCCTGAATAAAACAGGTATTTACTGCTGCTGCTCTGCATGCAGTCCCTCACAAGCCATCCAAACTCTGAATCATGGCCACATGTGCACATTGGTGTCATTAGTGAGTTCTTTCAGAGGGTGCCAAGAGGGACTCATGTGAGCACAGACAATTCTCCCATGTGGCTAAAGACGGGGCTGTCAGACAGGACAGAACTGGTTAACCCGTTTCTTCTTACCCTGCTATAAGATTCCTGGGGTTTACCAAACCTTTCCTCGCTCAGGACTTGTTCAGAACACGAAGTCTCAATGTCCTCACTCTCTGGAGACTCAGCTGGGGACTCAGTTTCCTTTAGCTCCATTTCCAGCGGGCTCCCTTCCTCCAGCACCACCGCTGATTCTATCGAGACACAAGGCAGAAGAACTGAAGTCTGCAGAGAGGCACAGAGCGGCAGGCCCCCATCCTCTCCTCTGAAGTACCAGCCTTTTCCCTATGGGATTTCAATGGAAGGCCATATCGAATGAGTGCTCTGGTTCTTTGATTTCTCGTCATGTCAGACTTGCTCCTGGTTCCCCTTTTGTATAGAACAACTGATCACCTTACCCTCACAGCAAAGGGCTGCGTCTGCTTTGGTCAAAATAAGTGCAGTTGTTTCCAATTGTTACTGATGAACAAGCAGGGGACAGAATGAGGAAATGGGACCTTGTACATCAATGCTCGGTTATCAGGACAGACAGGAACTACAGAGATGTAAGAAAGTACAAGACTAGCATTAAAAGTTCATCATTATCCAGGCAATGAAGACATCAGTTCTATGCAAGTGTGCAAAAACATAAGTTTTTCTTGTACCGAAATGCAATGCTCCTGTGCCTTGTAGTGGCCTAGAAGGAGATAAGAAATTTTACTAGGAGCCATTTACTTGCAGTTTGGCAGTTTTCCTAGTATGTCTCAGTAGAAGCAGAACAACTGAGCCCTAGACATATGAAAGGACAAGAGAGCAAGAGTAATACATGCACTGCAGCAATACTGGGAAACCTGCGTGTGGCATCTGATCAGACAAATGGTTAATGAAACCACACTGACAAGAAAGCTCCTTGGAAGCCCTGCCTACGGTGGAGGAGGTTATCGAAGCATTTAACGTTGTCTCTACTCCAGGCAGTGACCCTGACCACAGGGATGAGTCTGACCAAAGGCTCCTCTTGGCCTTGCTTTTTTTGTCCTGAGGAAAAGGCTGGAGAACAGGAGGCTTCCCATCACGCACACAAGGAACTGGAAGACCAATCTGAAAGGCCAAGATTTGTTTTCCAAAATAAAATTAAAAAATAAAAATAAAAATTAGCACACACAAAAAATAAAGAAAATTGTCAAAATTAAAAAAAGAAAAAAAAAATCACTAAAGCAGCTTTTCCTGGATTGATTTCAGCTCGCAGGACCAAAGTTATTTCAAAGAAGCAATTAAGAGTTAGCATTGCACACACATACCTTCTAAAAAAAAAACAAAACCAAAAACAAACAAACAAACAAAAAAACCCCAAAACGTGCTGATCTGGTTAGCTGTCCAAGCCAGAACACACCTGCATACATCCAGTGTTTCCAAGCTTCCCTAGCTTTTACACTACTGCCAAGATTGCTGGTGTTTTTAAATAATGCGAGAACTCACTAATTATTCTTCAGGTGGGAAGAGAATAATATGAGCAGAGAGAAGTACAGAAAAATATTTTACTGCAACATCTTTGTGTTGCTTTAAGAGGCCTATGTCAATGACAACCAGCAGTTACGAATACCCTGCTGCTCTACAGAGAATTTTCCAGTGAAGGAAAGAAGGCAGAAAGACATTTCAACCCTCTAATTAAAATCACAAAGCATTGCAGATTATCAAAGCAATGCAGGTGTTGTGCTCATAAGGTATGCAATTTGATCTCCGCTTCATTTAATTACAGTCAATTTTACTGAAATGGAGAAAGATTTTACACTACTATAGAGCCTCCAAAAAGATAGAATTTAGCAGGTTTTCCCCTGAAATATATATATTTTTTTTTATTTAAAAAACTTTTAACCAGCATCCATTTTAATGTCAAACTTTATGTATATATCAGCTCCTTTTATCTTTTCTGTGTCCAATTCTGACAGATTGCTGTGGGCTGAGTAGCACGGGACTTCATTTCGGGGTAGCTTGTCCTGTAGCATACTGTGCTAGTCTCAGAAGCGAGAGCTTTTACATTTAGCAGAACACAAAGCCCATTGTAAAACGAAGCTGAAAATAAATAATTCAATTAATCAAGCCGCTCAGACATTTTGACAGGTCATTTAACACTGTGCCTCATGACTCACAATCCACCCCAGCTAAAACAAAAGTTGCTTTAAGAAATTGTCTGCACTTGCAAATGTTGGATCTGGCTTGGACTTCTTCATGCTAGTCAAGATCCCATTTGTTGAGAGTAATGAGACTGGGTACAGACAGGAGACATGGAAGGGGAAAATGAAGTATGAGGGATACATTTTCTATGAATCAGAGGTGTTCTTCTATGGCAATACTTTTTTTTTTTTTTTTTCCTTAAAGATATATAAATATACCTGCCCAGGATATGCTCCTGTGCAACTTCCCTTGACAACTGGACTGGTACATGGAAGAGAAAGAGGCCACTGCAAAGGGAAATCAAGTGAGCAGCTACATCAAAAGGAAGGAGAGACTATATGAAAACAAAATATAAATTAAAAAGCACAGAGTTTAAAATGTAACCAAGAGCCTATTTTAAAATAAATAAACAAATAAATAAAAACAAAGGAAAGAACAAGCTGGGATAAGCTCACTAGATGCCAAAGGGATACTTTAAGGGTACAAGGTCTCAACACG